AACTGTAATGATGCATCGTTGTTAAGTACAGTTTGTAAAAAAGAAACCTACCTAACAACCGCCACAAAACAGATTGTTTCTTCCTTATTACGATGTCTAGAATTTTTAATTTTTTGCTACCAACCGCCACAAAACAGGTTCTTTCTTCCTTATTATGAAGTCTTTAATTTTTTATCTTTTTTTGCTACCAACCTACCTACCAACCGCCACTAAACAGGCTCTTTCTTCCTTGTTATGATATATTTAATTTTATGCTACCTACTTACCTAACAACCGCCACAAAACATTTTGTTTCTTCCTTATTATGATGTCTAGAATTTTTTTTATTTTTTTGCAACAACCTACTTAACATCCGTTACAAAATATGTTGTTTCTTTCTTGTTATGATGTCTTTAATTTTTTATTTTTTTTGCTACCAATCTACCTACCAACCGCTACAAAACAGGTTGTTTCTTCCTTATTATGATATCTTTAATTTTTTGCTACATACCTACCTAAAAACCGCCACAAAACAGACTGTTTCTTCCTTATTATGATGTTTTCAATTTTTTATTTATTTTTGCTACCAACCTACGTGACAAACGCCACAGAACAAGTTGTTTCTTCTTTATTATGATGTCTTTAATTTTTTGCTACCAACCTACCTAAAAACCGCCACAAAACAGGTTGTTGTTTTCCTTATTATGACCTATTTAATTTTTTGCTACCAACCTACCTAACAACCTCCACAAAACAAGTTGTTGTTTTTCTTATTGTGATGTTTTTAATTTTTTGCTACCTACCTACCTAACAACCGTCACAAAACAGATTATTTCTTTCTTAGTATGATGTGTTTAACTTTTTATTTTTTTGCTACCAACCTACCTATCAACCGCCATAAAATATGGATTCTTTTTTACTGCAACTATTTTCTTGTATCAGTGCACATGATAATCGGACATAATTTTATTTGATCAACTGTCTTTGATCCTTGCATGAATGTATATAATCAGACTGACCAGAGCTTCAGCTGCTTATAACACCCACTAGAGATAGGTCATCAATTCAGCTGTTTCTCTTTTTTTTATATCATCAATACAATAATTATGACCACAGACTGGACATACATTTGGTTCCATCTATATCACTATTTCTTCGAACGTACTTCTTCTTAGCCCTACTATTATTTATTAGTTGTGCATAACAATGAATACGCAATTACGGTTATTACAGTGTGTTTTGACTTTTTACTAACTGAACTTAACAACTAATATACCATTACGGTTACTACAGTGACTTTAGTTTGTTTGCTAACTACAATTAACAACGAATAAAATATTAATGGTACCACGGTATTTTTTTCTTTCTTTTTACAAACTGTACTTAACAACGATGCATCATTACAGTTACTAGAGTGTCTTTTGTCTTTTTACAAACTGTACTTAACAACGATGCATCATTGCAGTTACTAGAGTGTCTTTTGAGGTAGCAAAAAATTAAACATTCCTCATTATGATGTCTTTAATTTTTATTTTTTTCAACCAACCTACCTGACAACCGCAAAAAACAGGTTGTTTCTTCCTTATTATGATGTCTTTAATTTTTAATTTTTTTTGCTACCAACCTACCTACCAACCGCTACAAACAAAGGTTGTTTCTTCCTTATTATGATATCTTTAAGTTTTTGCTACCTACCTACCTAGCAACCGCCACAAAACAAGTTGTTTCTTCCTTATTATGAACTCTTTAATTTTTTATTTCTGCTACCACCTACCTCACAACTGCCACAAAACAGGTTGTTTTTCCCTTATTATGCTATCTTGAATTTTTTCTTTTTTGCTACCAACCTTCCTAACAACTGCCACAAAACAGGTTGTTTCTTCCTTATTATGATGTCTAGAATTTAGTTATTTTTTGTTACCAACCTACCTAACAACCGCCACAGAACAGGTTGTTCCTTCCTTATTATCATGTTTTTAATTTTTATTTTTTTTGCTACTCACCTACCTAACAACTGCCACAAAAGAGGTTGTCTCTTCCTTATTATGATATCCCTACCTACCTAACAACCACCACAAAACAGATTATTTCTTCCTTATTATAATGTCTTTAATTTGTAATTTTTTTTGCTACCAACCGCAACAAAACAAGTTGTCTCTCCCTTATTATGATGTCTTTAATTTTTTTTTCTACCAACCGCCACAAAACAAGTTGTTTCTTCCTCATTATGATGTTTTTAATTTTTTATTTTTTGCAACCAACCTACGTAACAACCGCCATAAAACAGGTTGTTTCTTCCTTATTATGATGGCTTTAATTTTTTGCTACCAACCTACCTACCAACCGCCACAAAACAGTTTGTTTCTTCCTTATTACGATGTCTAGAATTTTTTTATTTTTTTGCTACCAACCTACCTACCAACCGCCACAAAACAAGTTGTTTCTTCCTTATTATAAAGTCTTTAATTTTTTTTGCTACCAACCTACCTAAGAATTGCCACAAAACAGGTTGTTGGTAGCAAAAAATTAAAGATATCATAATAAGGAAGAAACAACCTATTTTGTAGCGGTTGGTAGGTAGGTTGGTAGCAAAACAAAAATAAAAAATTAAAGACATCATAATAAGGAAGGAACAACCTGTTCTGTGGCGGTTGTTAGGTAGGTTGGTAGCAAATAAAAAAAAATTAAAGACATCATAATGAGGAAGGAACAACCTGTTTTGTGGCAATTCTTATTTAGATTGGTAGCAAAAAAATTAAAGACTTTATAATAAGGAAGAAACAACTTGTTTTGTGGCGGTTGGTAGGTAGGTTGGTAGCAAAAAATAAAAAATTCTAGACATCGTAATAAGGAAGAAACAAACTGTTTTGTGGCGGTTGTTAGGTAGGTTGGTAGGAAAAAAAATTAAAAATTAAAGACATCATAATAAGGAAGGAACAACCTGTTCTGTGGGGGTTGTTAGGTAGGTTGGTAGCAAAAAATTAAAGCCATCATAATAAGGAAGAAACAACCTGTTTTATGGCGGTTGTTACGTAGGTTGGTAGCAAAAAATAACTAAATTCTAGACATCATAATAAGGAAGAAACAACCTCTTTTGTGGCGGTTGTTGTTAGGTAGGTAGGTAGCAAAAATTAAATATATCATAATAAGGAAGAAACAACCTGTGTTGTAGCGGTTGGTAGGTACGTTGGTAGCAAGAAAAATAAAAAAATAAAGACATCATAATAAGGAAGAAACAATCTGTTTTGTGGCGGTTGTTAGGTAGGTGGTTGCAAAAATAAAACTTAAAGACATCATAATGAGGAAGGAACAACCTGTTCTGTGGCGGTTGTTAGGTAGGTTGGTATAAAATTAAAATTAAAGACATCATA